CCATTTCTTGACGGATCCTTCTCATCTTCGAACTCGACCTAGATATTGATGAGACAATTCTGTGCACAAAATTTCAGCTCAATCGAATGTAATTGTGAAGAGTTATCGAATAAACGGACGGACACACTGACCGATTTTAGTAGTGTACTCACTTTTTGAGTAAGTTACACAAAAAGAGTATTTTCTTACCAACATGAAATGAGATAAACATGCATAAATATTTGTTTTGGAAAAGTCATTTCGAATTGTTGCATTAATAACAATACGATAAGCACGTGCAAGAAATGCTGAATAATTTTTATCATTGAAGACATAAAGCAGCACGATCCTACAAAATTATCACTGGTCTAGGAAATGAATCTTTCTTGTGAGGAAATACCTGAACAAAATTATAAAAAGTTAAGAAAAACAAGAATGGAACATCAAAATATTAATAATGAATTTCCGTGGATATTTTTATACCATAGCAACTGAATGACTACATCTATCATATTCTAGTTCTAAAATTTTCAACAATAAAGCATTATCAAAAATATTATCATTTCCAATCTATTATTCGAGATACCATATTCAACGATCTTTGAAGATGAAGAATGATTATCGATTATTTTCTAAATTTTCTCATTTTTAATACTTCTTATTCTATACTAATCTAGTATATATGCATCACTGATATGTCAACTGTTGTATCGACTCAACGATAATAATAGTAGCTGATAGGATTATAGAAAGTGTCTATTTAAACACTAAAAAACAGTACAGTTTACCTTTCCGTAGCATTCTTTGAATGCTCATAACCATTGTTTAACAGTAAAAAGTGTTTGAGATTCGGATAACATAAATATGTTAATGGCACTAAGCTACCTTCATCAACTATATTCGGATGTGTTATTGTTAACTCATAATATAAACATTGCTTAGATGATGAGTTCTTAACAATGCCACCAGTAGCATCCCATGAAATAACAGATTCTGGACAATTTACAATAGATCATATAATCTAATTGAGGCTTCAGTAAAAGCAAGAACACAAAATGGTCGAAATTGAACAATTTGAAGCGCACCATTGATTATTCCTTCACTATTCATTTCTTGAGCTAATTTATCATGTAATTATAAGATTCCCAAACTAATGTCTGGTGATAGTAAAGATTCAGCACTTATTTCAGCTTTTTTTTAAATACTTTTTTTGACTTGCCATTTGCATCATAATTAAAACCTTTTTTTTCATGTATTGTTCTTTTTTCATCATATTGAGCATGAACACGATAAACAGAACCACCAGCTTTAAATTTATCCATTATTGCTCATCGTTGAGAACCACACATTGGACGACTAATTTTTTCATTGACACGATGAAATGTTTTTCGATTCGTTGCAATAAGGAAGCAATAACCATTATTTAAAACATGACCACCAGAGCTGGGCAAGTCAGAGATTTTCCAAGTCACAAGTCAAGTCAAGTCAGGTCAAAAAACTTTTTCACCCAAGTCTGTATAGCACTTATCGATTGTTACAGTGCCGCGTGCAGAACAGATAAGAAAGAAAAGAAAATTAATTGTTACAAGATATATGTAATTGGATTCCAATTGTACTTATCTTGCAACAATTGATGTTCTTTTCTTTTGTTGTTCTGTGCGCATTATATTTACACAGATAAATAAATTTTCTCTTTTATTGTTTCCTGACCGTGGTGTATTCTCACTCAACATTAAAAAGTCACACAATCAAAGATCACAAAATTTAAAATTTAAAAATCTGGAAAATTCATAGAAAACAGTAAATTCGTCCAAAAATAGAAAATTGTTTTTTTTTTTTATTATGCCAAGTCAAGACTTGACTTGGCTGGTTTGACTTGACTGGTTTGACTTGACTTGATCTGACTTGGCTTGACTTGACTTGGCTTGGCTTGAAAAATTTTTTTCAAGTCAAGTCAACTGTATTAAAAAAAATTTTTCAAGCCAAGTCAACTGCATAAAACATTTTTTTCAAGTCAAGTCAGACTTGACTTGCCCAGCTCTGATGACCACTACATTTTAGAGTGCATCTAAGAAGAAGA